GGTTTAATGCGGTCAGCCCTACTGAAAAATTTCTATTGAGATCACAATTGAATTCCCAATTGAATTCTCAATTAAATTCTCAATTGAATTCTCAGTTGAGGTTTCCGCAAAATTTCGCATGTAAGATCTCAATTGAGATATTTGTATCTGATGGAAATAATTCATTGAAAATATAATGAACTTTTGCTGAAATATGTTTGAAAAGCATTCACAATTTTGACCCAATTTCATTAAAATTTCATTATAATTTCATTAATATTTCGATAATATTTTATTAAGAGAGTAGAAAAATTCAGTGAAAAATTATTATTAATTAAAATATTTAGAAAAGTATAATGAAGTATTATTTTGTCTAAATAATAAAAAAAAACTGGCATTTTATATTTTGTGTCGTTTCATTTATTCGTGAGATTCGCGTGGGATTCGATCTCGTGTCACACGGTCACCATCTTTAGATGACTATGCGCTGTTCAAATGCCTAACCTCAACGATCGTACTGGAACTAATAATGCCAATGCGCTGTAACGATATCGTGGTAGATTATATTTACAATATACTTTTACAACGTTCAAAAATGTAATGACATATTTGTCGGTAAATGTTTCAAAGGACGTAACAACAATCACAATGCGATTAATATTGATACAATATTGTATAACTAATTAAATTTAAACACAATATGCTTGCAAAAGAGAGAGAAAGAAGGAATATTCTCTCTCTTTTGCGAGCACATTGTATGTCAAAGTTTGATTAGTTATACAATATTGTATGACAACTATTCGAACTCTCTATTATTCATTATATCTAATGGCTCCTGCACACAGGACGCGGTAATGCTTGCCACGCGGCAAAAGTCCACGCGACAGCCAATCAATATGTTTTTTTTCCATAAGAGCTAGAAGGTTATTACGGAAAGCAGCATATTGATTGGCTGTCGCGCGAACTTCTGCCGCGCGGCAAGCATTACCGCGTTCTGTGTGCAGAAGCCATAAAAGGTTGCGTTTCGTTTCACGTATTATGCCCGCATTTTCTACAGTATACGTAACATGAACTGAATGGCGTATATTTTTAGATCTAAAGAAATATTCCAATCCGATGAAAGAGTTTACTGAACGCTTAAGCCAGCGGCAGACAGTACTTGTTTCATGCTGGATTGGTGCATTTCTGAAGATGGATGGAAATACACCAATCAAAACAGAGTATTTCCATCCAGCAAGCAATCCAGCACGAAAACAAGCATCGTGTGCGCTGGCTTTCGTGAGAGGTCGTGTTTCTATATACACCCTGATGCATCCACTGTTGCTCCACATCGGTAATAATGAGTACAAAAAATAACTTGAACGTTCAAGAAGAGAAAGCCTATCTTATAAATAAACACGTTGCTTTGAAACGTAATCAAGAAATAAATAATCCTTGTTATAAGGTACTCAAGCCATTTATAATTATAGGATATTATTTAGCAGATAATTTCGCTATTTGATAAATGTGGTGCTTTTTTCTACATTTTTTACGGTTTCACGAAACGAAATATATAAATAAATAAAATGAAATAAATTTATATTGGTACTTTCAGGGAACTTTTAAAGAATGGAAATATATAAAAAAAGAAATAAAAAAGAATGAGATTTTTACAATTTTATGATAATTATGTTCTTTTTTCCAGGAGCAAATCTTGTCTTTGAAATGCCTCGATTCTCACAATAATCATGATGAATGTGAATTATACTTTACGAATTATAAGAACTGTAGGAAATTTTGGGTAATTTTAGTGTAATATACATTCACATACATATTTGATTTGTTACTCCAAAAGAGCTAAGAAGATATTTTTCTTTTCAGGCTACTGTGCAGCGTGAACGCAAATTAAAAAATATTAAACCATATTTGCCACCTGTAGAGGAACGTGCAAAAATAAAAGCTGATTATCTAAATTCTAGATGATAATTGTTATATATGTATATATACAAGCCTTACTTTGTAAAAATATCTTTTATTCTATGTTACTCTAGATATATTTTAGATCTTTGGATATATCGCTGTTGAATAATACACTGTAACTGTATTGTGTACATAGTATAGTCAAGTATCAACTGAAAATTGAAATTATTTGAAAAAAACAACTATTCGTTAAATAAGTTTTGCTTTTTGAGCTTCCTGCAGTTTATCTAAATGTATTTTACTTTACATTCCAGAATAGTATTTTTTGAGTTATTTTAAATATATCTATAACAATAACTAAAGAGAGATCTGTGTTCTCAAATAATTAGAACAAACATAAAAAGAATGATTATCAATGTTACCCCAATATCTAATTTTGCTTATCGAGAACTTGCATCGCGGTTCTTCGTGTACATTATTCGAAATAATAGTATGTAAACATCTTAACACAAATATACACCGATATACTCGATCTTCTCTCAGTCATATACATGTCATATACATTAGCTCCTGCTAAATACGACTTAAAGTTCTATGAAAATAATTTTATGATTAAAACTAGTATAAATGCACAATAATTTATACACGTTCCAATCATTTACAAAGAAAATAGAAAAAAGAAACGAGAAAGTAAAATAGTTATTACACTATTGGTATATTAATAGTGCCCGAGGGACGATACATGTTAAAACGAAGAGGTGCATTTACAGTCTATCGTTCGACGAATTCTCGGCAGCGTTCAAAAGAAAAAGTATTTGCACACACAATTTTAAATGGAGTGGACATGACGAAAACGCTTTGAAGATCAAATATAAGCGCTGTTAGTACAAACTCGCTTAAATATCTGTTCGTTTCAGTTACGTTTCCTATATTTCACTTTGCTAATTCAACTTCTTATTGAATTTTCTTATCTTCTATTGATTCCCTACACTTTGTTTTTTCTTTTACCTTCTCTTTCACCTGGATATGCATCTATTCTATCATAAATGTAAATAATGTAATAAATATTACGATGTACCAGTGTTATACTGCTCATTAAATAATTAGAGGAATAATATCACTAAATATAACTATAAATAAATGTAACTTATATAATTATCACATTTGCATACAAGACAATTACATTAATTTCATATCCATATGATTAAAAAGAATTGTTAGAGAATAATTATGAAATTATAAAAAATAATTATGCAATTATTTTATATTATTACTTTTTAAAATACCTGAATCATTCAATAGATATTTAATATTTTAAACTTCTTCTCAGCAACACGTTTATATAAATGTGAAATTCTCGAACTTACTTTCCTACAGTATTTTATTCAATCAAGTTTGATCAACAACACGACTCCCTAATTATTTCGAGCAGTATACTTATAGCAACCAATTCACTTAAGCACCAGACTGTTCTTGTACAAACTGTTCTTATATATTTTTTATTGCTGTAAATTGTTTCAAGGAATCTGCAGCATCAAAATACAGAAATAATAATGGAACTAAAACGAACAGCGCAAAGAAGAAAGAGAGAGAAAGATATAAAAATGATGATAAAAAGAACATAATTAAATGTATCACAGCAAGAATGATCAAGCAGACTCGGGTAACTTTGTTCGTGACGCATAGAAACAAGTAAACAACACTTCATGGTAACGAATTTTTTTATGAGAATAAGTCGTTACGAGATATATAACACTCTCATTAGTTTTTTATTACACGTACGTTACTAACGTCTCATATGTGTGACGCAACAAACTCTCACTATAAGTCAATGTCACATATGTGTGACGGCAAATATTTCTTTTTCTATATCCGCATTATCGAACTCTAAGATTATTTTACAAAATTACATAAAAAAATATGGAGTGAATTATGAAGAGAGTTCTTTAAATAAACTGCGTAGTAGCGAACGTGTTAAGAGACATTGAAACGTGTGAAGAGTTGAAAAAAATATGTAAGGTATATATGTATAAACCAGTCAGCCTTGATTGCATAATGTTAAACACTATCTCACAATTCAAGATAGACATTTATGCGCTGAAATATTGTGGTTATAAATCGACAACAATTCTACTTAGTAAATACTAGAATGTTATATCAAAATTTCACGATCGTATTTTTCGTTAATGTTAAAAAATCTTGTCTTCTTGCTTATGCTTAATGAAACCATTAATTTATTTTATATCATGAAAGACGAAAAAACTGCTAAATCATATCGTAAGTTTTCTTTATCGGAGATATATGATATTATATAATGATAAGCGAAATAAATAAAGTAACGCTAGGTTTCTCTCTCTTTCTCTTTCTCTATTTACGAGTAGCACATCTATCTCGTATCTTATGTAAACTGTACTTGTTACTTGTTCTATAAATCCATAAATATGTCTCGTCATGGTAATTAATACCTCTGATAGTTTTACTATGACAGATTTATGTATTTTCATGTGTGTCAGATCTTTTCTTCCGTTTGCCTCTCTTACTCTCGATTTTTATAAATCTTTTTATATATCTGGCGGTCTCTTCGTTTTTCTAACACGTATCGTCGGCAAGTAGTCATTCGGAATGATCTTTTATTGAAAACGTTTGAATGCGAAAGTGACGGCACATCTGGCGTACCTATAACAAAGTCGTACATCATTAATGCATATAGAACTAACTATATGTCTAACTATACGTTTCTTTTATTACAAATACAGAAATTGTGACATAGCACAGTTAAAAACACACACACACACATAAAATACTTTACTCAACTTACCACACAAGCGCCATAGTGAATATGCGACAGCAGGGCCACTATGGAGACTACATATATAGTTTCCAGATCCAGATTAGGCAAAATAAACGAAAATGTGGCAGCCACTGCGATGGGCAATAGTATCCATGGTAACATCTCGCATCTGGTGTTGCTCATTTGCGACACAATTAGTCGACACTGTAAGAGAGAATAAAATCGTTAAGATAAGTAAATAATGATAGAATCAATAACGCGTTTATATATATAAGTATCTTACACATATGTTGGAGAAAATAGTGCCAATGCCGAAGTATATTATTCTTGGGTCTTTCTCTAAAATATTGTTTGGAGAATGCACTATCCAGATGGTAGAAATCGCAAAGAGTAAAATCAAAGGCACCAAGGGCCTTATCGCCTCCGGGAATGTACGCATCTTGCCAGTTTTATCCCTATAAGATCTGCAAAAGACATTAATGTTTCAAATTGTGCGGCTATTAGATTTGTATAAAACGATACAATTTGCTGTAATGTTACTTACTTGTATATGTTCCAAAGAACAACTGGCAGATTGGATACGAGCGCGCTGACGTAAAACAACATTTCAAACATTATGCCCGCCGACACACCACCTGGCAATTCGAATTTCCAGGCTTCGTGCCCACCTATGCTGGTAAGAGTAAATACTATGACAGTTGCCTATAAAAGTCACAAAAAGACCGATGTAAATCCTCATGGATCCTTTTTAACAAAATGACAAAATATTTTTTTGTCGTAAGTAATTGGAAAACTTAAACTTTTCTGAGTAAACTTACTAGCATGGAAGCATCATATCCCCAAGGAAGAAACAACACGCCTGTGTTATATTTTTCCCAGTGGCTTAGGTAAAAGTTGAAGAATACATTCCATAGTATGAAGTACATTCGTATTGGCGAGATACTGTGGTCTGTTCTGCCAAACACTGAGTACATGCACACAGTAATCAACATGGCTGTCCAACTGTCTAAACCATGATCAAACAGCTCCCCCAAAGGACCAGATGTTTGTGTGCGCCTTGCTTGCTTTCCATCTATCCCATCTGCAATTTGATATATATTAGTACAAATTCTAGTTTATCAAAAGGTTCCTTCTTTAATAAGGTGCCAATAAGACAACATAATTTGCAATATTAACATATATAATCATGAGAGTTTGATATAATTTTGCTTAAAAGATTCTCCATAACTTACATATATGTTAAGATTATATTAAATACATATAAAGATTCATATTAAATACACGTACCAAGCGTATACGCCATAAAAATGTTAAAAGCACCTAGAGCGAAAACCCATCGTGGTATCGGAGGGTACTGCGGTTTGTCATCACTTGACGCATAAAAATAGTAATCATAAATTGCAAACAACATGAAGTTTAACACAGTGAAAAGAAATCCAAAGAAAGTTAGTACATTTGGAGCTACCCATTTTGGACAAAACTGAAATGAAACAATTAGTATTTACATTATACTGCACCAGTATACAATATTATGAAATACATATTAGTCTAAAGTAAAAGTATGATTTCTTTTATATATCAATCTATTAATAATTATTTTACAACTCTTTAAATTAGAGTTTATACCTGTACTACTTTGTTCCAAAAGGGATGCATAACATAGACACTCAGGGGACTCGTGTCCAAAGAGCTATACTGAAATAAAAGAATCTGTCATGAGTAATACAATAATTACTAAATGTAATTCAGAATAAACTATTCCTATAAATATTTATATGTATATCAAATGTATTTATAAACGTTTACAATGAATATTCATCGATATTGGGCACACTCACTTTGTAACTCTCAAACCCTGTGAGATGTTCTTCTGTCAAGTATTCCACCTCGAGCTTGTGCTTGCGATACATCTTGAAATCGAAAATCTAACCACTATACGATGCGAACTTCCACTCAATTGTTAACCATACATTTACGCGGCTCGTAGTAGAAAAAATGCCGGTTAACAAGAAATATGTAATAATAGTAAAAAGCTCTAATTTCCGAGTACGTATATCCTCTTTTCCTATTTATACAATCTACAAAAACGCTTATCAATTTATTGTATACACATCATGACGTACTCTACGCGTAACTATATTATAAACACGAGAGTTTATCGGACGATTTTCACTTGATATTCACAACGTGCAAAGTTTCGTGTGCGAATGAGTCAATCGTGCAGCAAGTCAAATCACACTTTGATGCAATACAATTATGTACACATTACGTATGCATACATATCATACAATTGTGGTTTTTTGTACGCACGCACGCACGCACGTACGTACGTACGGATGCACGCGTATGCATACGTAATACGTTAATTTGTTAATATATAAAGAACCCGCGCGATACCGATCATCTAACCTTTCACGCGCTTGCTGTTTGAACGATCGAGGCGGAAAAGAACCTACATGATTAGACTCAACTGCCCACAGATGGCAGGCATGGACTGATATAGAAAATTAAAGCCGGTATTTATAGTCGAATTTTATTTCAAAACCATCTTAAGGGTTATGCTGAATTCACACAGCGTCCGATGTCCAACGTATGGGTGTATATCAGTTGGACACGGGGCAATTGGACACAGTCCAATCACAAGTCGCTGTTCCAAGGGACCCTACAAATGTCTCTAATCACACGGTGCTGTGATTGGCTGTGTCCAAATGCACCGTGTCCAAGTGCACCGCTCCCCCAACGTATGACGTCCGATATCCAATAAAAGAATAGCTTTTCAAGAGAGAATTGAATTCTGTATTAGAAAGCTGTTCTCCTATTGGATATTGGACGTCGTACACCGAACATCAGACGTGGTGTGAATCCTGCATTAGGCGACAGTTTCACGAAAAATGGAGAGGATACTGTTGGAAAACCAAGGAAAATCTCTACACGATATAATTTAAAGATCTGTTCTTTGTAACTGCATACTGCTGAACTAATGCAAAAGGTTATTGGCTCTTGCACACAGAACGCGGAAATGCTTGCCGCGCGGCGGAAGTTCGCGCGACAGCCAATCAATATACTGCTTTCCGTAATAAACTTCTAGTTCTTACGGAAAAACAACATATTGATTGGTTATCGCGCGTACTTCCGCCGCGCGGCAAGCATTATCGCGTCCTGTGTGTAGGAGCCATTAGAGTGAGAAAACGTATACTTGCCTCACTTCAATTATTGCACCAGTTCAGCAGTGCAGTTACAAAGAACAAATCTTTAAATTATATCGTGTAGAGATTTTCCTTAATACCAACATTATCCCCTCCACTTTTCGGGAAACTATCGCCTAACTTTATATATATAAAGGGACGTCTACATTGGAAGTAAGCAGTAAGAAGTAGGAAGTAAAAATAAGAAATTGACCAATCATAGTTGATTATTCCTCTCACATTCAACTGTGGTTGGTCAATTTCTTACTCTTACTTCCTACTTTTTGTTATTTACTTCCAATGTAGACGTCCCTTTACGGAAAAACAACATATTGATTGGCTGTCGCGCGGACTTCCGCCGCGCGACAAACATTACCGCGTCCTATATGCAGAAGCCATTACTACACCTATGAAGCATTCGGAAATATCACTCGAGTACTTTCCCTCTCTTTTTATCTTACTCTTGTATTTTGCTCACTCCAACGGCTATCTAGTAGTGTGGACATAGTGTGTTTCCGAACACAGCCCTATTATTGTAGATCGAGACATAAATTTCCTGACTATAAATACCGCCTTAAATTTAGATGGCTTCCAGTTTGACGTTTCTCTCACTTTTTGCTCGCCAGATGTCGCAGCTACTGCCAACGCAGCTGTGCGCACAATTTCAGACCGTTTCGGACACGGTCAGCAGTATTGTATAATATGATTTTGTTAGATTAGATGCTAGAATGATGATTATGTTAGGTTAGATCGCACAATAGATCGTCTTCTAGTTCGTATGTAATAATTGACTGAGATACTGTTATGGCTTCCTTGGTCGCGGATTATGGCACTTCCTCTGGTTCGGACAGCGAGACGAACGACGATAACGTTTCAGACAATGTCAATGATAACTCGTAAGTGTCATTTCAAATTATTTACACTAATAAGCGCTCTCCGCTTCAGTTTTCCTTTTGATGCTCCTCGTTTCCATATTTTGTCACGAGCCACGACCTAACCTTTTAAAACACAAATATCGAGTTTTTTTAACACTCGCGCTTCTCGCACTCTGCTTGTTTCTTTCTCTTTCTACATATGCAAATATGCACCTGTCATACATAATTCTACTTGCATCTTCCAAGGAATTGCGCATTTTTTGTAATTCAAATGTGTGTTATTTTACATTCATCATTAATATATATATATATATATATATATATATATATATATATATATATATATATATATATATATATATATATATA